ATATGACAAAAGTGTTTCAAGTATTTAATTAATTGTAGCTACCACTTTTACGTATTAAAATATGTATGCTTTTGTTTGTGTATTTCAGAAGTTAGGTTGCCACCGCAGACCATGTGTTTGGATGCTTGACCGAGCAACCGAGTGGTGGGGTGTGATTGTTCCATCTTTCACACACACTCAGTGGGTGGAGAACTTCAGGATGTCTGAGGAAACCTACGTATACCTGTGCAACAAACTGCGGCCAGCGATGGAGAGACAGGACACAACATTCCGCGAGTGTATACCTCTAAAGAAGAGGGTGGCCATCGCACTGTGGAAGCTTGCGACCGGCTTAGAGTTTGATGCGCTACCTGAATAGCTAAATATTCATTGTATACAGGAAACTTGAATGTTTTGGTTCATAACATCATGGTTCAGTAAGTTGATATACATTTCTTGTGTTTGTAATTATAAACACGACATTGAAAGATTGTGGGCCATTAAGGCTAGTGACGTTTTGTTTTTATTATTACTACATTGTATTGAACATAAATAAATCTATTTTTGTCTTTCACATATGTGTTTGTCAAATGATTTAAACAAAAAAATGTTATCAGAATTGACTATTTAGTAAATATTTGATTTTCAAGCACCAGTAAGTACTTCCCCATAATAAGAACATTTGAGCAAATATGAAAGTAAACATAAATACAAATGATCTCTTATCCCCCTTCTCTTCCAGTTTATTTGTAAAAGGAAATATTTTACTTTAAGTAATGTGTCAGTTACCAAATAATGTTTTAGAGGAGGACCTCAAGCAAGCAAACTCAATTTCTTGCTTTAAATCTCTTCTTAAAATTAACTTTTATCTTATGGGCTTTTTCCTAACTGATGGTGTTTCTTATTGCTTTATAAATGCATGTATGTTTATATCTAGATCTTAATTGGGCTATTTTTACAATTGTTTTTGAGTGATATTGTAGGCTTTTGTTTTTAAAGATCCACAAATATTATTAGTAATGGTATTAGTTGTAGCCTATTTTTATTTAGGAAAAATATAGGCCTATAACTTCTGCCTCATGTGAATCTGAGTTTTTGTTCTGCTGATTTAAAGCCCTTTAATTGTACATTTCAGTTTATGATTGGATTCCAAAACTGTAATGTTGTGTGTGAGTGGCAACCCAGTGACTTTGTTTACATGCTCACGGAAATCAGTTTGTTAATCAGATTATGGCAGGAAATCAGATGATGCATTTATCAACAAGAGATAAAATGAGAAGTACTTTATTGAATCCCAATTTGGGAAGTGTTTTTTGTTGCAGCATAAAAAGGCATGGCATTGTATGTACAATAGAAATAAAAAATATATATATATTTGTTGCAGCAGCATAAAAAGGCATGGCATTGTACAAATACAAAATAAAAAAATGTTTGTATTGCAGCAGCATAGAAAGATAAGAAATAAACTGGAGGAACGTCGCAACTTCGTCAATCGACCACGGTATGTTTTTCTTTGCCATTTTCTTAGGTTTACAAAAATGCTGCAAGCGTCCCTTAATATATGCGACACTAGGGATTAAGTCGCGCGAGAATTGTGACGATTCTCTCTGACCAATCAGAGTCGTCACTAGTTTAGCATATTCCGCCCGGTTGTTGGCCCCGCTTGTTGGCCTCGATAGAACCACGATTTAGTCGGGCCAGAAAAAGGGTGAAAAAGTAGCCTCGGGCCAAAACTAGGCCAAGTGGAAAGGCAACCAAAAACGGGCCCCGCACGGCTCGGCGCGCTTAAAGCGAGCTACCCGCTGCAGTGGAAACGCGCCATAAGTGTCTGAAGGTTAGTGGTCCTGACCTTGGCTCCTGGGTGGGCTGCAGTGGCTGTGTGCTTGTCTTGGATAATCTCTGGACCCTTCTGTTACTGAAACAACAAGCAAGCAGTGTCCAAGGAGGAGAGAGGAGTCACAAAGGGAGCACCCTCAAAGGCAGCATCTCTCTCTTTTTCTTTTTCCTGCTCACACCACACACACACACACACACACACACACACGCACACAGGAACACACACAGGAACACACACACACAATCTCCTCCTACAGAGACTATCCTCGGAGCCCTGACCACCCACATAAGAAATGGTAACACAGTGCAATGAAAACGATGCTTTTCCTTTGACCCATTTCTTGATAAATCTCTCATCTGCTAGAGGCGTTAGACGTGTTGAAGCCAGTTTGACCTGATACACGTGCTAAAATATGATCCCATTCATGGTAAAACCATTTATTCTGCAAGGGAAGAAGAGAAGCTCTCCCACATTGATGCTCTCTAATGGAATACAACTATAGCCTGACCTACACCCTGTGATTATGAAAGTAGTAATAATCACTTAACGACTCTGAGGGCCTCATTTGATGTTAGAAACACTTAAAATTATATCATAAATGTGTTTGCTTCACTGAATTGCAGATCACCCCAGGGGAGGAAAGTCCCTGCTGATGAGCAACCGGTGGTAAACAACTTTCTGCTGCAGGTGACACGCTGCTCAGACTGCGGCTTTTAAGGAAATGCAACTACAGGAACATTAAAGGTAACACACCTCCTGGAAAATCCCAGTGGTGGAGATTGTTTTCAGAACAATTTAAACTAATAAATTAGACAGATTCAAAAAGATATGTTTTGGCAGCAAAGCACTCATGCTTGTTTTTAACGTACTGTATATATTAGATTGGTTCTTTTTTCCACCTTTTATGCAGAATAATTTAACTTATTTCCAACGACTTTTGAAAAGCATAGGCAGTGTATTTATCCTAAAAATAACTGTTCTGTTTTGCTGTAGACATAATTGATAACAAGAAGCATCCCATCTGCTGACCTGTCCTCAGCTTTGTGTGTGTGTGTGTGTGTGTGTGTGTGTGTTTGTGTGTGCGTGTTTGTTTTTGTGTGTGTTTTTTGTGTGTGTTGTGTGTATCCATATGACAGCAATCAGGAGGCACTGAAACCTTTATATTTAGTGCCCTCTAGTGGCTATATTGAATGCTACATGATCACTGGAATTTCTCATGAAATGAACTACACTTCAGACTGTTGTAGCGTTTTAAAACATTTTGTAGAATATGTAACATGAAGGCTTGAGAATAGTGTGTTTAATTGATACAAAAAATAGCAGACTGAAGACATCAGATATAGAAAATGTCTTAAGTGTTGGTTTTCTTATTTATTTACTACCCCCCCAGATAATTTTATTAACAAACGCTTACGATTTCTTCCAAAGAAGACTCACCAGTCTTCCTCTGTTAGCTGGTCACCCCTCTAAGACTTACTTCAAGGATGCTATGCCTTAAGTCATTTCTAAAAGCAATATTAGAAAAAGTTGCATAATTTAATTTAGTAAACAAACCTTTGTTTGTTGGTAGTCTAAGACTTTGAATGACAGGAGAGACAATTGAATGGGTAATAAGGTTTAAATGATTAACTTTATCAGTTGTTATAAACCTCATGGTGATGAAGTCAGGTACTGTGATCATGTCAGTGATCTAAGCAGAACTGCAACTCCCTCCTGGCTGATCTACCTGCATGTGCCATCCGACCTCTGCAGCTCATCCAGAATGCAGCGGCTCGTCTGGTCTTCAACCTTCCTAAATGTTCCCACACCACTCTGCTCCTCCGCTCCCTTCACTGGCTTCCAGTAATTGCTAGAATCCACTTCAAAACAATGGTACTTGCGTACCATGCTGCGAATGGATCTGGCCCTTCCTACATCCAGGACATGGTTAAACTGTACACCCCAGCACGTGCACTTCGCTCTGCATCAGCCAAACGACTCGCTGCACCCTCACTGCGAGGGGGACCCAAGTTCCCATCAGCAAAAACACGTGGGTTTGCTATCCCGGCTCCAAAATGGTGGAATGAGCTCCCCATTGAAATCAGGACAGCAGATAGCTTGCACATCTTCCGGCGTAGACTGAAAACTCATCTCTTTCGACTCCACTTCGAGCGATAGAATTACTAACAAAGAACTGCTAACAGAGCACTTATATACTAATAAAGGACTGGCTTATCTAAAGCCAGTTGAGTAGCACTTGAAATGTTTGGCTCTATGAAACCTGATGTACTTATATGATTCTGTTTTCTTCAAGGTTGTATCTTCCTGGTCGAACGCACTTATTGTAAGTCGCTTTGGATAAAAGCGTCAGCTAAATGCAATGTAATGTAATGTAATGTAAAACAGGAGTTAAGCACCAATCTGCACCATTAAACGTTGACGTACTGAAGTTTAATAACACTTTGTCTTTCCCATTTCATTCGCTCAGGCACGTACTGTACATGCTGTAATTCTAAAGATATTACTCAAATCAGGATTTTTTTATATATAAAATGAAGAACGTGAAGGTCACAGTAACCAGTAACGCAATGAGACATTTCACATACAACTCACATACTTTATTTTGATTTTAACTTTTTATAAACACCATGGTGTTGGAAGATAAAACACAATATTTAGGGATCTGTCAGACTGAGCTTAAAATTACATAACAAAATGATGTTGCCAATCTTAAAACACTTAAAGATGAAAACAAATGAAACAGAATGTTAAGGGACTGCATTATCACCACAAAAGTGTATTTAAATTTCCCCTATTATACTGTTTTTCATCAATATATTATAGGTCTCAGATATATACAAAACATGTCTCTGAAGTGTTTGGCTCCAAATACCGAACAGATCACCCATTGCAGCATCCCATAATCCCCTCTGTTTCAGCCCTGTTTAAAAAATGCTGATTCTCTGTCTGTTACTTTAGATGAAAATAAGGAGCCCCTCCCCACGCCCCTCTGAAAGAGATTTGGTTAAAAAGAACACAATGGTGCTCTAAGAGGGGATTCAGGTGATAAGGTGGGGGGGGGTACCTTGGTTGGTTATTGGCTAATGGTTACACAAGCCAAAACAACGTTGACATCATAAAGTGGCCAAAATCTGATCAGCTCATTTTCAGACAGGTTTTTATATAAATGGATCAGGACAAAAAGAGAGAGAATCTTTTTTCCTGAAAGTTTCAGAATCTCTTTACACAGAGGGGACACATTATTATGTATAAAATACATGAAAACGTGGATTTGCATAATAGGTGACCTTTAAAGATTGACCATTTATACATATACATACAAAAAAGGAAATAAAACCAACACAAATCCAATACACCAAAGTAATAGCAAAAACTAGAATCCCCTACTAAGAAATGTCTACTAAAATAGTTTACAACTCCATTATCCCAAAAATATATTTGTTTTTTTAAACAATTGTCCTTTGCTAGTGAAATCACAGACACACACACACACACACACACACACACACACACACACACACACACACACACACACACACACACACACACACACACACACACACACACACACACACACACACACTCTTGTCTGTAATTCTTATCTTTAGATTTGTTGTTGTTGTGAATAGTGCTCTGCTCTCTCAAAAAGCATCACATGCGATACATGAAAAGACAGGCTAGGCATGGATCATCTAAACTCGGGGTCACTCTGAGCTCCCCCCTTTCTCTCGATCTTTCTCAAGCCACTTTTCCTATTCTCTGCACTATCTCTCATGGGGAGGATCATTCATCACGGCTGTCGAAACAGCATGTTCACCCCATTATAAGGGACTCTTCAGGTCAGACATCCTGGTAGGAGATATTCAAACGGTTGCGTATCTGCATCTGCCCATCAAAGCCATGCCTTGTATTTTATGTAATGGTATGTTATGTTGTTTTTATGCAATGTGTTCTCATTTCGAGGAACCTGGTAGAAGCTCGTCAGTTTTCTTCCACCCACAGCTGGCTTTGCTTGTTTTGTGAATATCAGAATTACTGACACTACGGCAGGGACGCCTGGTGGTGTTCTCATCGGATCCAATGTTTTCTCCATCTTAAAGGGGCAAGGAGGATGCTAATGACAGTTACAAGTGTGTCTTTGTGTGTGTGTGTGTGTGTGTGTGTGTGTGTGTGTGTGTGTGTGTGTGTGTGTGTGTGTGTGTGTGTGTGTGTGTGTGTGTGTGTGTGTGTGTGTGTGTGTGTGTGTGTGTGTGTGTGTGTGTGTGTGTGTGTGTGTGTGTGTGTGTGTGTGTGTGTGTGTGTGTGTGTGTGTGTGTGTGTGTGTGTGTGTGTAATTCTTCATTCGATTGCATTCTGCAAACTTATGACTTGATCCTACACACTTATCTTAAAAAACACTGAATCGCCATCATTAGAGTAAATTCCATTAAACTAATATAAATCAAATATAACTTACATAATGTAGTGTATTATTCTCTACTGTAAGAGTGTAATATCAATAGATGTATATGTGGAATAAAGAGCAGATGCCGAAATACCTTCAAACCTTAGAAACTGAAGAACTATTGACATTAATGGAAAAGATTCCATGAAGATGGCTTACCGACAGTGTTACAAAAAAGTACTGCTGTAAAGTAACCAATAATATTAATAATAAGACGTTCACAAGTTACAACTGTCCACACTCTTTAAAAAACAGAAAACATAGGTTTGTCAACACTAGTTCCGTAATCATAATCAATTTACAGAAATATCATGGTTAAAGGAAGGAATATATGGTTATTTATTTTTAACATTTTCATAAGTTGCAGTTGATGCACAGATGGATGCCTTCAGTGCTGCGTTCCTCTCCACATAGCCCTGCAGGCTGCGTAGCATAGACTCTGCATAGAACACTTTGAGAGGAATAGACTGCAGTAACCAGCCCTGTATGCACACACATACACACACACACACACGCACACCCATGCACGCACGCACACACACACACACACACACACACACACACACACACACACACACACACACACACACACACACACACACACACACACACACACACACACACACACACACACACACACACACATATTCACAGGGATAATCAGTCTCTATTTGGCATTATTTGGCATTATCAGATGGCAAGCTAGAAGCTATAGTCGCTAAGTCTTACCAGAACTATGTGACAGACACTTCCGTGTGTTTTGTCTCCAGCTCGTAGGTACTGCAGGGAGCTTTTTACAAACTCTTCTGGTGACAGAGTCACTATGTTGGTTTGTTGGTATGCTGTCATTCGAGTGGAGACCCCAAATGGAGCCACTGCCTGAGAAAAATAGAGGCAGCATATAAAGAAAGAGGAAGTTGTTACAATATTTCTAAAACCACTTTAATGTTGACAACAACGCACTCCTTCTTCTTTTGATTAAACATAAATACATTGAGGGTGAGTCTCTATCAAAGTACCTGTATAATAATCCCTTTATCTTTGTATTCTGCTTGAAGACCTTGAGAGAATCTCTCCACAAACACCTATAAATTATAAAAAAATAAATTACAGCTGAGTGATCAAACAACGTGAGATAGAGATACTAGAGGTTCAGATGCAAGACTGTTCTTACCTTAGATGCTGCATACAGGGTGTACAGGGGGAAAGGAATGGAGGCAACTCCAGACGAAATATTCAAAATGACCCCCTTACCCCTGTAGAGGCAGACAAAAACGATTTGGTTTTGCATTTTTACCAAAACTCAATGTAAATAATGCATGTTAGGATTTTATCACATCTAAAAGAGAAAATAAAGGTAGGAAACCTGCTCTCCATGCCTGGAAGGATTATTTTGCACATCTGAGGAAAAAAAGAATAAATCAAATATGGGACAAATGTAAGGGTAAGTTCATTTGGATGAAAACAAAGAATCCATCACTTGTACTCACAAAATATTTGATCTTTTTTTTTGTACCCGTAAAGAGTTTTTGACACTACACACCAGTCACTAAACGGTAAACATTACATTGTAACTTAGAGTTATTTTGCTGAAAAATTGCAATTATACTCCTACCTTTGCCATGGTTTTCACATTGCAGTTTATCACTGTTGTGATTGTCTGAAAACGTGAATAAACATGTATAAGTGGTGTTGATAATTAAGGGAAAGAGAATACTGGGGTGAAAAAGATAAAGTTATATATTTTTTAAAAAGGGCTTCTTAAAAAAACGTAAAATTACTTATTACCTGTCAAAGGCATTTATCATGACAAAACACTTTGTCTTGTTTTATGATGAAAGTAATGCATTAAACCAGTGGTTCCCAAACTTTTTCTGTCAGGCTTTGGAGAAAAAAAAAAGTCGGGTCCCCCCAACACAAGTCAGGCTCAGTGGCGGCGCCAGAGATTTATTTTGGGGGTGCTGTGGAGTAGCTTGACGTTTCATAGAGGGTGCTCAAACATTTAGGGTTTCCCATTAATGTACCGGTCGCTACAGTTGAATTTTCTACTGCAACAATCCCCACGCTTATACACAACGCAGTGCACCCGCAACTTTTACAATGAAGGCTCGATAATCAGCTCACGGCATATAGGTGTAAGCAGGGGTAAAGTGCTATTTTTATCGGTAGTGTGTGGACCATACATAGGGGGGTCCGGGGGCAAGCTCCCCCGGGAAGATTTATTTTTAAATATTGAAGTTAAAAGCATCAATCTGGTGCACTTTGAGAGCAAAATTAAGAGATCTATGGATACCTCTGCCAACACCCATATGAAACAGAACTGTAAACAGATTTCCTTTTTCTTTATGGATATTTTACAAATCACCCTTTTAAGCTTTATTCTTTTTTACTGTCATATAGTATTTCATACCTGTTTTTAATTTATTCTCTTATTTTTTTATAACTATAATGATCATATAAACGTGTGCCTCGGAAATAATTGTTTACATTAATGGTGACCAAAACGTTTGAGACCCACTGAGATAACACTGAGAGAGTCCTTTAGCTCAGGGGTTCCCAACCCCAGGTGTTACTGCCGGGCCGCGAAATAGCTGTGAGTTTATCGTAATATTTGCAGAATTATAAATATATACAAATATTTTATCATAATATTTTTTTCAAAAACTGTTTAATGTTCGCACCTATACCAGTCATATTATTTCATCCAGTAGCCTAGTTAATCTTTCACCAGATAACCGTTGAAAATGGCTTTTATGATGTTCCGAGGGATTCGGCGGCTCAGCCTGGTCTCAGCCTCTTGTGCGCACGAGAAAGTTACCGGTGCGCCAAGTAGGAAGAGGAGCGCACAGGAGACAACCGTTTAATTGCAGACTGTTATGTTTATGTGGGGAAATGGCGGTGCATACATTATTTGAGATATATTTCAAACTCGGACTTCATTTTAAGGACATGTCGGCCAGGGGTGTAGAGCTATTTATTTTATTTAATGACTGATTTTAAATGCCATTTTCTTAATGTCTTTCATTTTTTTGTAAAGCACTTTGAATTGCCTTGTGTTGAAAAGTGCTATATAAATAAACTTGCCTTGCCTTGCCTTTGTTTAAGCACCGGATTGACAAAACAGGAGAGTAAACCAGTCTGCCTTGATCTATGAATTCATGTACGAGACTCCCACGGTATCTGCTGCCCGAAGCTGTTTTATAGAAGGAAAACCTCCTTCACTTCATGAAATGGCTGCAGGCAGCATCAGGAGGCAGCGGGACGTATTTTCCGCTTCTGAGAAGTGCAGCACCAGCGCGCCGAGAGCTGTGCCTTTTTACGCACCGCCTTCGCTGTGTTTACCTTAATCAGAACAGCGAGTGACTGCAGGCTGCTACGTGTTAACTACACACACCTCTCCACACATCTCTACACACATCGAACTGCCCGATTACTCCCCCTTTTATTAGTTTTATGATGTGTGTGTGCACTTGTGTGTGTGCTCTGCTCAGCTCAGCTCTGTGTTTGTGTCTGTCCGACACCGGCATTTGTTTTCAAATGACCATGAACAGTAATTTACACACATCTGGCTAAATCCATAGGTAGCCTATATGCGGGTGTTCCCAAAATAAATTAGTTTAATCTTAATCTCGATGTAGTGCAAAATTCTGTCGGACGTGCACCGGAACGAACGTCACTATCATAATATCTTCTGAAAACAAATGCCAGTGTGCCACACACACACACACACACACGCACGCACGCACGCACACACACACACACACACACACACACACACACACACACACACACACACACACACACACACACACACACACACACACACACACACACACACACACACACCCACACCCCTCCTTCATAATGCGCCTTCACCTCGTTTTCCCATCACTGGATTATCCGTAAATCATACAAACAAAACCAAAACATTGATTTATCTGTTTTCCCGTTTTGGTTTAAAAACTGAATAACATCGGTTTTTTGGTTTTCCGTTTTTCCGAAAAACCAAAAAACGACGGTTCTTTTTTAAACGTTGTTAATATGTTTTGGATGCATATTGTTCTAGTATTTGTTCAGGCTGTTACATACAATTAGCCTCTGTTGCTATACCTGCTGGTGAGTAAATATTAAAATCAGTTAAAATTGACAACCGGTCCGCGATTTTATTGTAATGTATCTGCCGGTCCTTGGCACAATAAAGGTTGGGAACCCCTGCTTTAGCTCACTGAGTCTCTCAGTCTGACAGGAGAGGGCTCTCCTCCACTTTGTTGTTGAAAAAACTCCTTATATCCGTTAGCGTAACTCGCTAGCACCAGATGCTAACAACAACAACGATCTCCGGTACCGGTGCGCTCTCTCTCTCTCGCGCACACATACAAAATGGCTCGTTTCACACACACACACACACACACACACACACACACACACACACACACACACACACACACACACACACACACACACACACACACACACACACACACACACACACACACACACACACACACACACACACACACACACACACACACACACACACACACACACACACACACACACACAGAGCCGAGCTTTAATGAAACACAGAGACCCAGACGTAATAGTACTGTACTGTATCATAGTAGTTTTTTTTTTTTTTTTTAAATAACCATTTTTTCTCCTGGTCTCTCGCGCCCCCCCCTGTCATGCCTCTGCGCCCCCCAGGAGGGGCGCGCCCCTCACTTTGGGAACCACTGCATTAAACACATTAAGAGCTAAAGGATACATGCAATGCATTTTTGTGTGTATCCCTTAAGGTTAAATATATTTGTTGACCTGGTCCAGCTGTGCAGTCTCAAGGAATTTGCAGGGGATGAAGCTGGGCAGCATTCCTACATTATTGACTGGGGAACAAAAAAAACATCTGCTTTGAAACAGGGAAGGAATCTGAAGATATTATGTTTCTTGTGTATTTGGAAGCTGTTAATGTTTCAATCATACAATCACTACATGTAGTTGTGTAAAAAATAAATATTCCAACCTAAAACCCCAATGTCGAGGCTCCTAATCTGATCCTCGATTTCACTGAAGACGTTGTCCTTCATGAAGTCTGTTACAATGACTTTCACCCGCTGCCCTGTGGTATCAACTAAAAGGAGAACATGTAGGGTAAGCATACAGTACACTGTACATTGTTTATTTGATCACAGATGACAAACAGCATATTTGTGTATGACGTTCAAGTTTTAAAAGCAGTCACAACAAAAAAAGCATTTATAGAAAGTTTGTACCTATTTCTTCAGCCAACTGGTCCAGTGTTATTTTAGTTCTGCTCATGATTACCACGTTCATCCCTTTCTCAGCCAGCTGAGGGAAGCAATGTTTCAGTGATGAGCGGTTAGAGACATGAAACATTTACAGTTGCCAGAAAAGAATGAGCAGATGTGCATAAAATAGTAAATATCTTAAACTGCATAATGTTCTGGGTAGGAAATAAATAGATACAACCTTTGTTACCAAGTGTTGAAAATAATGTATGTAATGTAAAAAACAAAAAACGCTACCCACAAAATGTTAAGATGTGTGTGTTTTCTCTTAGTTATTATGTTTAACTTTGGTGTCCTATACTACAACTTAGAGTAAATAAATGATATGTAAAGACAAGCAGGGCTATTTAAAGAATCACTTACTGCAAATGCATATGCTCTTCCTATTCCCTCTGAAGCACCGGTCACCACTGAAACAGGGATGCAGGGTTTAGTGAAAGAAATGTATTAGTTATCATATTCTCCTGAAGTTTCCATTCTTTCCATTCCTAATGCCATGTGCACTGTGAATCAGAGCTGCATTACACCGGCTCTCTTCCTCTGCTGGCAGACAAATCCCAGGATTGTATTTGTGTTTGTTTACACTACCAACCCATCCTGTTCTAACAGGTTGTACTAATACAACATGTTCCTCAGTTCTGATAAGATATTTGCGGTGAACAGAGAGGAACTGTTTGTTTCTGAGTTCTTCTTTCCCATCACCTCCTGACCCTGATTACAAAGATCATTGGCTCTTTTACTCTTTTCAGACATGAAGTAATGGGCATGGCATCATTACTTATTCAAAAACGGTAAAGACTGTTTTGCAGGACTGTGATGTAATAATAAATCATTGTGGGAAAAAACAAATGTTTTGAGTTCAAAATATAAACTCAATGCTCTTTAAAAATGTGTGCACAGTCCTTACAAAATTACAACAGTGTTGGATGACAACACTTCTCACCACACAAACCACTGTTGATACCACTACTTAAAAACATGTTAAAAGTGTTACTGTGCAGCATCTCAGGTGCTGTGAAAATAAACTGGACTGTTTTAATAGCCCGTCTTTTAAAAAAATATAATCTTTTTTCACACAGATATAACATACATATTCTAGTCCCTATTGAAAACAGTTTCTCAGTGCCAGAAAAGGGTTTCCTTGTTCCCAGAGTTACAATGTTGTATGCTGATTCACAGTGAGATCACCAGTGACAACAAAACAAATACAAAACAAGGACATTTCCTTTTGGACGCACCTATGGTAGATAAACATGATCAACTTGAATAAAGACTGAGTCACTAATCAGGATAAATATAAACATCAGAGTAAACATGTGTGGAAAGGTGGAAAAGTTGTTACCCATACGTCCGACCACATGGACGGACAAGCAATACCATATATGTGTCGTGAATATGAGTTTCTCATCAGGATAGGTTTCATTCATCACTTTGTTGGCTCTCTGTTGTGACTCTGCTTTCTGTCTGGTGGAGGTTTTTCAAATATAAACATTGGATTGAACACTCAGGTTAAAAGATGGGCACTGGCTACAATCTGGATGTCCACAATTATGCAAATGTATTTCAAATTGTCAGGACAAGTAAGAATAAAGAAGGCAGCATGTATAGAGCCTAGAACATACCGTTCCGGTGTCTGTATTCCTCTGCGCTGGAATGGAATGAAAGTGGGCTTGAGAAAGTAAGATCAGCCCATATTCCCTGTGTTTTTATTGAGCTTTTTGAAGCACTGTGGGAGACTGAATTACCTCTTCAGAAGATTCTAAAGAGAGCTTCGTAATTCAATGAGACTACCCTGGGACCTGCAGAGGAATGTTTTTGGTTGAATTAAAATGCACTGACACTGTCCTCAAGTTAGTAGGAATCCTACAAGTGTGATTCCTTGCAACAGCTGGTAAAAGTACTAATATGTTCCTTATCGTAATAAATCCCTTCTGTCATATTACCCTTAATGCATTGCCATCACAAAAATGATACAGGGTAGTCAGGCAGTTTATGCTGTTGTTCAAATTGTGTAGTGTGTTTGTTATTTTCTTATTCACAGTTAATAAATATACAATCACTATTATGTAACTACAACCACATTGCCAGTAAGCATTTGGCAAGTAAGCCAAGAATAAAATGTTCTTTCAAATGTGTCACTCAAGCAGCAACATGTTTTGTAGATGAAAAACATTGATCTTGTTTCTGTTAGCAGCTGCAAGCAGTTGCACCATAAATATGATCACATTACAAAACAGTTGAAGGGAAAGTCAGAACTTGTCTCTGCTCGTGCATTAAACAAGTGTAATCTTGTGCAACAGAGAAAGGTATACACTAGTCTGAAAAATGGAAACTGTTCCTTATCTTTTACGGCTATACAGCCACAGTTCAATTTGCATGCAGGCCTATTTGGACACTTAACCTTCACGCATAGCAATGTACTCATAACACCATAATAATGACACAATTACAAATGTTGAGCTTAATCACCGAAGTAAGTAGTTAAAAGTGTGGCTTCCAGGCAATGTCCTTCCCCCTGTCTTTCACCTCTGTATCTCAAATAAAGGCACTCTTTGGCCCACATAATACCTTTAAAAAGGGTCACTGACAACTTATGTCCTAGCATTTATTATCCACTATATGACTTATGGTCTAACATAAATTATAGAACATGCACATACAAACAGCTCACCTGCCCACTTTCCCAAAGAGGTAAAAAAAGACTGTGATAGTGGAAACCATATTTTTGGGAAAAGCATCCTACTGAAAAGCAGCAGTTTTATTCCATAGAAGACAACTACTGCAGCACCAAGAGTGATGAAAAACAATTCCATTAAATCCATACTTGTCCTGCACAACAAACAATTTTGGCTTGAGCCTCTAGGTTGATGTCTGCTCTGAGTGATTCACCTAAAATAAAGCAAGACGGAATGAATAGAATAAATCAGCAGGAGGACACTCCCATTCCTCCCCCCCACCACAGAATTCTAAACTCACACACATAAATACTATGTAAATTTCCCTCAAAACTGATGAAATGTTGCATGGAGAATTGCAGGATGCCGATAAAACTAATAGTTAAAAAAAATCCCTATGATACAAATTTCAGATTTTGGGCTATTTGACAAGAAGCACACACTACGGTCACCTGCCTGCTTTCTTTTAATCACTTAAAAACACTTGATGACTATTTTGTAATACCTTCAACGTTGATACCCTGCCTTTTACCCTCCCTTCTATGAATTATGTTGCTAAAGTAGCTATACATGTCTAACTATCCACCTGAAAAAGAATGGGAATATGATTTCAAAGATCATACAGCAAGGGATATGCCTACAACCCTTGTTCATAATTGTTCATAATAAACCCCTTCTTGAGTATTGTATTGTTTTTTCTTCTTCCTTTATTTATTCAAGAACATATGTGAACATCATACATTTTGGATGCAAACAAAGTTGACACATACAGCATATGGCTCCATTCATTCATGACGAAGCACGCCTGCCAAACCTAACGCGTCATCAGTGCGCGCCTGCTGTGTTGCTCGCGCCATTCCTACAAGCGTGTGTTTCCATCTCCCATTACACTAGCAGAGCTTTAGCAGCCACAACAACAGCACCGATTCTGTTTTCTGCAGTCATTCTTTTAGGTAAGTGTCGTTTTATGTTTCTATTTTGAGACGTTTGTTTGAGGACGTTATTTAGCATCACAAACGTTGTGGGCCCTTGGTTCCCTGTTGAATAAGTTAAGCCAGCTAGCAAAGTTAGCTTTGGTGTTTGCACCATTTGGAACCTCAGTGTCGCACCTTTCATGGTTTTTTTAAAATTTCAATTGTAGATGACACGCAGAGAGGGCCAGTAAAGAAACATGGGCAATACAGCAGGTCTAATGAAGTCAACAATGTATCTAAAATAATGAAAATGTAATGGAACAGTTGCTGGTTTCTTTTGACAGCCTACCACTGAGCTTGTTTTGGTTCTCTCTGCACTTCAAAACCCAAATATGACACTTTATAGACACGCTTCCTTTCATATGGGGTTGTGTCATTTGAAATGCGTAATACATCCATGCAAACACTTACTACAGTCATACAGAGGAAACCATTTTCTAAACGTTTGTATGCCTATATACCCGTGGACCCATATAGCTGCACGTTAGCGCTTATATTGTAATATGGCCCGACAGAGGATGAATTGGCTTTGGTGAAATCAATCTTAGCCGCTTCGTAGATAATGATATCAACATTTAGCCCGATGAGCTAGCTGATGAAGTTCTGCTGCCGCTAGCTTACTTCTTCACCCAGCCATCATCTGACAACTAGGTTAGCTAGTGTTAGAGGGCATTGCATGTGCAAAACACCATATTGAGATAATATTGGATAACAGCCTCAAAACATTGATGACTTAAGAGGTTAGTTCAGACAAATGTAGCTAGAATATTGCAACAGCAATAAAGTGTTAGTTGTACCTTGTATAGTTGAATGCCAACTTTAAATGTTTAACAGGTTGTATATTGCTTTAACAAATGTATAAAGCAGGCACTATTTCTTACATATTTGATCAGGGTACACGCATTACTGACCTGATGAAAACACAGGATGTAGTGGAAATGAAAGGTGTGACATAATGTGCTTTATTTGGAAAACACTCTTTATTAGTGTTTTCAAAGTTGACTTGCTTCGGTTTGCTCAATTCCTGGATGCCTTTGGGACCTTGATTGTTATTTGCTCCCTTGAAACACTAAACAATTGAGCCAATATAGCCTGATATTATTGTTTGACATAATGTCAGACTACATCAAATAAATAAAAACCAAAAACATAAAGTAACCAAAAACAACTGTATCTCCTTAACCATGATATCACACACATTTAGGCTATTCTATGTGTCGTCTTTGGAATAATGTAATAACTAATATGATATTTGGGTTCCTAGAAACTTGAATACATACTTGTCCAGGTTTCTGAAACCAGGATTTGATGGTTACATGCCAGAATGTATAACCGGGACAGCCTATCCCACCACAAATATTAGCACACATGTGAATTTAATGTAATGTTTGCATGATCTTTGGCAGGTGAATCTGTATCTCTTCTGATATCACCAGAGACAGAGGCTGGTACTTCTCTTGCTTCATTCACACTTTATAAACTGAACACAATTTTACAGTCTATCTACACGATTTGTTTGTGAATCAATAATTCAGAGACTGCCTATTGAAACAATCTGTCCCTGTTCGAAGGCCATATATTTGGCCAAAGGACTGCTACTGTATTTCTGTGGAGTGACTAAACTAATTCACATGGATTTCTGGAAGCTCCCAATAGATCATGGTGCTGGACATTTGTTTCTGTGCTGCAGATGGCAGCCTTGCTCTATATTTAGCCACACTCTTAATGAAAGTTCACTGAGGATACCTCACTCGGACGGTCCCACACTACCTCTACTGGTCTCACAGATGACCGTCGCTTATTTAGATGATATGGCTGTTGAAAAGAGAACTGTGTTTTTAACATAGCTAGACTCTGGATTACTTCTCAGCTCCTGATTGCAATATCCTTTAATGATTAGTTGACAGACAGAAATAATGTTTTTCTTTTGTAGTTATAAAAGTTCTCACTCTTGTCAGATATACTCTCTGAAACAATTGGGAATGCACTGAAAGCTGACGAAGAGAAGTTAGCTGTATTTTGTAAAAAATATTATCGATTTTCTTTTGTTCATCAGTTATCCAATTTTTTTTTTTACAGCTAGGACCTCAATGATAAAGGATTTGTTATCCTTATGTCGACTTCTGTTCTTTTCTTTATTCCAAAGATTCATGTGTGATTTTAATACTGCTTGATATATAATAACAGTGAGAAGATAAAACCAGACAAAAAGACTGACAATCTTTGTAGATTAGTTTTGACTGCCTTTCATTTGAAATGTTCTTCTGCTGTTTATCACTACGGTTAAACTTAAAAAAAAAAAAAATGTTGTTCTTCCTCAAATCAGAATGAACTTCACACAAAAACAATGAAACTCTTCTCTTGTCTGTTCTTTCCTCCTCCCCCCGCCTCTCATATTCCCTTGCAGATATATCCATCGATGGATATGGACAGTGCCAGTTCAGTGGTGCTGCAGGCCTTAACCCAAGCTACCAGTCAGGACACGTCTGAACTGAAGCCTGCGGAGGAGCAGCTCCGACAGTGGGAGACGCAGCCAGGCTTCTACTCTGTCCTCCTGGTGAGGGTGCTCTCAAATGAGTAGAATACATCTACTAACAAACAATTAATGAGTGGTGTATGGTACATGAAATCAGGACAACGTTGGGTTTATGCTCTTTTCTGTAGCACTAGTTTTTTTAAGTAACTTAAAGGTGGGGTAGGTAAGTTTGAGAAACCGGCTCGAGATACACTTTTTGTCATATTCCATGGAATGCTCTTAACATCCCGATAGCAATGAATATCTTAAGTGCTTTGACAAAAAATCCATAACAAAATGTCATCTGTGGAAGCCGTAGCACTGTAAAAAGCACGACCAATCATTTTAGCCGGCTAAAATAACTGGATGGCCTACCTGCCTGTCAGCCTTCCATCTGTGCACAAACTTATCTCGTGCCCTCATTGGTCATGTGCGCGTTCGTGTGTGTTGGAGGAGGGGCTCTGTAAGGAAGTGGCAGATTTTTTTCCGGTTGTGTATTTTCAAATTCTAGCGCACTCGAGCCGGTTTCTCCAAAATTACCTACCCAACCTTTAAGTCAAACAATCATAAGAGAGTTTTTCCAATCTGCACAATAACTCACAGAAACACAAGATAGTGAGAGGTTGGAGAACACGCAATAAGAAGGTATTGTAGGGCAGGCAGCTAAGAATTTATTTGTGTACTAATTAGGGATGTCAAGTTAACACAAAAAAAAATTAACGCCACTAATTATTTTAATGCGATTAACGCATGTGTATTTTTTGTCCTCGGCCGCCCCGTAGTTTCAGAGCGCATCGAGTTTAAAATACCATCTACAAGCTGATGCTGACAGCCCCGCTCCTGCCGTCCGCTTGCGGCAGACCACACTTCCACGCTCACCGGCAGGCCCTGACTGGCCATCGGGAGGACCGGGAGGGTGTGTGTATATGTGGCGCGAGCGAGAGAGAGACCTTAGGTGTATTGTTGTTGTTAGCATCTGGTGCTAGCTAGCTGCGCTAACGGATATAAGGAGCTGTTTAAATGAAAACAGAGGAGCGACATTTCGCCGACAACTGCGCGGAGCACTTGACTTTATGCAGACAGTGTACGAAAAGTCAGCACACACACACACACACACACACACACACACACACACACACACTGTATTGTATGAGAGAGGTTCCAGGTTGAATATTTGTAATGATATTCTTCTAAGGTACATTTAGAAGAGATAAAAAATGTGCGATTAACTATGGACAATCATGCGATTAAATATTTTAATCGACTGACAGCTCTAGTACTAATACTAAAATATCCATTGAATCGTTTTATTTAAATGTATTAATTCAAAGATGTTTTAAACACTGGTTGTATTTTACACTGTTTAAGAAGTACACTGAACAAAAATATAAACGCAACACTTTTGTTTTTGCTCCCATTTTTCATGAGATGAAGTCAAAGATCTAAAACATTTTCTATATACACAAAATGACCATTTCTCTCAAATATTGTTCACAAATCTGAAAAAATCTGTGATAGTGAGCACTTCTCCTTTGCCGAGATAATCCATCCCACCTCACAGGTGTGGCATATCAAGATGCTGATTAGACAGCATGATTATTGCACAGGTGTGCCTTAGGCTGGCCACAATAAAAGGCCACTCTGAAACGTGCAGTTTTGCTTTATTGGGGGGGTCTGGGGGGGTCCGAAAACCAGTCAGT